TACGAACGTTTATGAAGAGTTTTACGCACGAGTATTTTCACTAAACGCAGGCGTTATTGGCGTAAGTGAGACATGGTTTTCAAGAAACAAACCAGCAGAATTATATATGCTGCCTGGGTACGAGTTGATACACAAAGATCGTGAAACGAGAGGAGGGGGCGTGGCGCTATACGTTAAATATGAACTTGCATTAAGAAACACAAATATTTTTGTACCGGATAATTTAGAATGCGTATGGACGATGATTGAGCAAAACTTTCCCTACCACGTGAAGAAACTCTTTGTATGTTGCCTATACCACCCACCAAATGCACCCTCACACGACGAGTTGCTGGAGCATCTCGTCACCACTGTGGATGCTGTGCGATCGACATATAGTGACACTCGTATAGTAATACTCGGTGACTGCAATGATCTGGATGTGAACTATCTAACAACACAACTTAGACTTCGATGTATCGTCACAACACCTACTCACGGGAACTCTACAATCGATCTTATTTTAACGGACGCTGAATTTTACATAAATAGCGAAACACAACCACCCATAGGATTGAGCCGTCATCTATGTGTAGTGAGTCGTCCCGATGTCCAGCCCGAACAATCTACTTACAGCGTTCGAACGTTTAGACCCTTCCTGGATTCATCTGTACGCCAATTTGGTCAGTGGATCACGCATGAGGAGTGGAGGGATGTGTTAGCGACTAGCGATGCCGACGAAGCAGCAGACACGATGGAGAGGGTACTGTTGGAGCGGTACGAGGCGTGTTTCCCGGAACGACGCCAGAGGATGAGGAAGGAAAACAAACCTTGGATCACCGCGAGGATCCTGCGACTCATGGATGCGAGGCGACGCGCGTACGACCGTGGCAACTTGGATCGCTGGAGAGAGTTGTATCGCCAAATCAAGTGGGAAATTAAAAATACCAAACGACAAGTAGGACTTAATATACAACAAAATGATATTAGTTCCCCTAAATTTTCCATGAACGTTAAAGGTATCTTAGGAGGTCAAAAGAAACCCCTTAAAATACCCGTTTTGAGCCATCTTACCAATATTGAAATTTGCAATACTATCAAATCACACTTTACCAATATTTGCACACATTTACCCCCGATTGACCCATTGCAAATTCCTAGTTTTTTACCGGCCTGCGAACCGCCAGTAATAGACAGAATAACTGTATATAAAGCACTTTTATCCCTTAAAGCAAACAAAGCCTCACCACCGGGCTCGTTACCTAAGAAACTTTTGCATGAATTTGCGTATGAAATCAGTGAGCCTTTCACACATGTAATTAAATTAAGTATTGAGAGTGGTATCTTCCCTCGTAGATGGAAAGGGGCCACCATCACCCCATTGGCCAAAAAAAGAACAGTTAATGAATTAGGTGATCTACGTCCCCTTTCCCTTACCCCCGATTTTGGTAAAATCTTAGAAGGTTTTGTAGCCCAACTAGTTCTCCAAGATATTAGACCAAATTTAGACCCTAAACAGTATGGCAATCTAAAGGGGAAGTCACCTTCCCATTATTTGACCTCTTTTCTTGACACAATTTTGAAAGCCCTAGACAAACCCAAGAAAATTGCCCAAATTGTTCTGATAGATTTCAAAAAGGCTTTCGATTTGTAGACCACACAGTTGCCATCAGAGAACTCTTTCTTTTAGGTTGCCGTCCCCACCTTCTAGCATTTGTCAAAAGCTTTTTATCAGAACGACAACACAGGGTACGCTATCAGGATACTCTTTCTGACTGGGACAGCATTACGTGCGGTGTACCTCAGGGCACCCGGCTCGGCCCAGTCATTTTCCTAGCCATTATTGACAGGTTGTGTAGGAACACTGATATGCGAGCTAAATATGTCGATGATTTAACCCTTGCTGAGATAGTCGATGTAAACAATGAAACTCACTTCACTATGCCAAATCTATTGAATGAACTTTCAGAAGGTTGTGCATACGCCAAAAATGACCCCAAATCCAATGAAATGCGAAGTACTGCATGTGTGTCCATCTAAACGACCCATTGTGTTCCCTGAACTCACTCTAGATAACTTCCCTTGCCTATTGTTAATCATTGTAAATTATTAGGGATCCACATCAACTCACAACTAAATTGGGATGATCACATCGATTATATAACGTCTAAGGCCAGCAGAAACTTGTTTATATTATATAGGGCAAAGCAATTCAACTTCAATCAAAATGTATTATTCACACTGTATAGTTGGTTTATAAGGACGATTTTGGAATACGCAGCACCTGTGTGGCATCCGGGACTCAAACAGGCCCAACACACTCGCCTGGAAAGAATTCAAAAACGCTGCTTACGCATAATATTGTCACCAAATTATGTCGATTATAACGACGCCCTTAATCAACTGAGATGTGACTCCCTATACCAGAGACGAGAGGACCTTACACTCCGTTTTGGTAAATCCCTCCTAGAGTCAAATGAATTCAGACACCTCCTCCCACAGTACCTGCACGAGATCCATG